AAATCGAGTCAATTTCAATTTTTATTTTTAAGCATTAATATTGATGAGTCGAAACGACAAGACCAGAGCTACAAGATTGTTGTTAGGGGAAAAAATGAACCTTGACCTGCTAGTAACCTTGCGTACTGTACATATATGATGTACACACATATATATGAACATTGGTACAATTATCGTACTGGACTAGAAAGTCGAGCTAATCCACATAAAAATCCAAGGCTCATTCAAGAATCAATCCAAGTCAGATTCGACAGAGAACCACTGAGGATTTTTTCGCTTTTACTACAGTTAGATACACATCTAAAGTGCGAAAAGAGTATCTACAGCAATCTTGAATGGCCTTTTATTTTACTATAATCCTTTAGGACTAATTAAGTACGTGACCGGCTTTGTACATTAATGTAGAGCTTGACGTCCGTGAGACGTGACGTACTTATGTACAGAAACTGATCATGAAAACAGTAAAGGTAGCATTACATACAGACCCATGTAGTAAACTTGGGGTTAAATTGATAATCATGCTTGAATTCCCTGGTGATCGAGTCACGGAAGCTTAACAATATCTCTCATCGCGTAAAACGTACCGAAATAAAAACGTTTTTCCATCAACTGGGAAAGTTCCCATACTTGGCATGGGGGTTCCTTTGCGGTCATAAGAATTTTATCTCCACGATAGGTTAAGCAGGCTGTTGCTATCGGCTTCGATTAAGAAATAAAAATCTCTTTGTTGACTCATTTTCGTGTCTAAAACTTTCGAGTAAAACTATACTAAATATATAACACGGAATGAAGATCATACTGTGTTCGCTTTGATCATGGAAAGTCGACAAGTGTACATACAGACTCAAATACATGACCAAAGGATATGTTTGGATTACCACAATATAGGATTTAAACAAATTGGAAACATTTGGTAACAGAATTTTGAACTTTAGTTTTTTTTATGAGTTTGCGTGCGTTGACTTGGCTTGTATTTATTTACCACTCCTTGGGGGCAAACGTTTTCTGAATGAAAGAAAATATTTCAAGTCCCCTTCGAATAACTTCTATGGGCTAAAATTAGAACTTTTACAGKAAAGATTGAATAAATATTGAAAAAGAAAAACCATGACTACCAAGTCTGCCATCGTCTGATTCTCTAGTTCAGTACAAAAGAGTTCAAAGGAATTACAGTGTTTAGCTTACCTTTTCTCAAGGGAGTTCTCTTGTTTATTGGAGTAGATATCTTTCGTCTTCTTCTCAATAGGAAGGTCACTTAACGACTGTTTAAGCGCTGTCTCGAAACTGTAAATGTAGTAACGTATACTGCGTGATTAATAGGTCCAGGGTCAAAGACAATACGCGTTTGTCAAAATTACATTAGGAAATACGTTGTTTGAGTGGTCGGGACAAGCAAGCCATCAGTCACGTGCTTGACCTACGTAACAGCTCGGCAAGGACAGCGTGTTTGCACGATCTAACTTTTTTTCTGCCAGTATTTCTTTTTCTCGAAGTCTAATCTTTTGACCAGACATTATATATACTCTCAGGGATAGTATCGGTGCCGGATTGGACTTTCTTTTCGGTGTTGTTTAATAAACTGTTAAAAGAGCATGCGACAAGAGCGTTCAGTGGGAATCCACTGTTAGTATTATTGTCTCGTTTTTCATCACATTCAAGCTAATCTTTTGTAAAGAATCTGCTTATATAAACATTGCATAAATTAATTATTAGAGACACTTTGTTTAACTCTCGCAAAAATTAAGCTGTATTTAACAAAATGACCACTAGGCCAGACACCTGCTGCCCGACTATAACTCTCGGTAACAGAAAACGAGTGGAGAAAATCATTGCCTCTTTACAAAGGAATAAAGTCCTGAAATACCACAAAAAAAGATAAGTTTTTTTCTGCTATATTGTCCAAATATGCTACAGTTCTAGTGTTGAATTGTTAACCGTAATCTTCAGATTGACATTCTGCTGATTTTTCTCGCTAAGGAATTGAGATAAATTTCATTCAACTCAAAAGACTGTTTTGTTTCACTAAGATCCTTTATTAAGCGTTTTATTTCCAGTTTAATAGAGCCCAGCTTGAGGTAACAGGCTTACGTTTATGTTTACCCAAAAGTTTCTTTCAACAGTTCATTTATATTTTCAGTTACGGCTTCACTAGTGATGCCCTTGCGTATCTCTCTAGGCCGCACTATTTTAGTAATTAATGGTCAGAACGGATAAACAGAGCTGAGTTAAAGATAATAGTGCAGGGCAAGTAAAGATTGCACAATTCATTTAGTAATTTCTAAAACTTTATACGCTATGAACTATTTTTGATCGGAACCATGTGTATAGCTTTATTTGAGGCTCTTCAGATTAAGAAAAATTAAAATTGTGTGGCAGATTGGGCGTATTGGTACGCTAAAAAGCCGTATTTTTCTTAAGAAGAAGAAGGGTAAAAAAAAGAAAGAAAAAAAAAAAAAAAAAGAAAAGAAAAAGGAGTATTCCTAGACTTAGTCGTTGCTGGTCCAAAATTTCCCAAGTTCAAAATAGTAATTACCTACCACATTTCGTTCCTATTTCACATGACTTTGGAAAAAAAAGTCGAATAATTTTTCAGTTTTGAATTTCTTTAGCTTTTTCCACCGATTTTCGTATGTTCAGTGATTTGTGGCTGTTTTGGAAAGGAAAATATGGTTAAATACTGAGGCGTAACAGCTAATCTTAGATATGATTCTTATTGACGCGATCCATTACTTTTCTCATAAAAAATGTCCAGAAAAAAATGAATTCGCTCAGCATCTCTTATAAGTTCTTTCAAATTCTGACCGTTTTTTTTTTTTTTTTCCATTTATTTATCTAAATAAAATTGGTTTACATAAACAGCATTGCTCAAGGTAACTTAAAAGAATTATTAATAATGAATTTAAGAAGTCTCATGTTATAGCGAAAACCATTTTCTGAATTCATTCTTTCATTTATTTAAAGTTAAAAAATGCAGAAAATTGATCGTCGGAACTGAATCCGTTTTATATGAATATATACATAATATATTATACAGCTATAATACAGAAACTTTGATTCATTCATAAAAAAGCCATTTATATTTAAAAAATATGAGAAGTATACAATACCTTATTACGAACGGATATTTGTTTACTGGTATTTGGTCTATTACCAAGACTGGTTGAAAAAAAATTCATCCCACAACTTCTTATATATATAATTTTTATTGATATATATTTCTTCTTGGATAACAGAACAATCGTATAGATAAAATATGCAGCTGAACTTTCATTGAATATAAATATTAATGAATATGAATATATATATATATATATAAATCGCAATTGCTCAAATAAATTACAGACATTTGGAGAATGAGAAAAGCGAAAAAGCCATGCAGTGGATCAATCAAGAATGGAAATTAAAAGAGAGAAAGAACTATTACTTTATCAGTCAAGTTCAGAACAACTTAGAATCGGCTTAGATAGGATTAATTGACTCTAGCATCAAGTATTTGAATATTAAACTTCAAATTTATATTTTAATCTTAAGAAAAATTGAGAAGAAACTTGAAATGAAAATGAAAAAATCTGGAAACTTGAACGAAAAAAATGAACGAGGCAGAGATCTATTCCTGACCCGTGTGCTGGCTTTATGTCGGGGTAGCGTGCAGAGGGGAAGAAATATATCTTCTGCTCGCAGTATATAAACAATTCCAAACGTTTTTTTAAATTACTGCTCATCTTTTACCCTTTATTTATGATATCCTAGTTTACACTGTATTTGTCTCATCCGCGTCGTTCGATTTGCACCCCCCAAAATAACAAGGATTTGTATATGAAGAGGTGTTATAAAAAGAAAACAGACCTCAAAGAAAAATAAGAACAATTTAAACCCTCTGACTTGGYTTTGACGGATAAACCATGTCATCATAAGAAATAAACTATGTTGGCAATCGACTTCTATATGCTCAAAAATACAATGAGCAAATCCCATATATCAATCGTTAGCATTGTCCGTGCTAAAGTCAACCTATTGTCGATATTCTATATATATTTATTTTCCTTTCTTTTCTTTTTTGTTTCACTTTATTTTGATTTTTCAGAAGCAGATGTCCGTATTTAACCACTACGAGTGGATTAATTTTGTAAACTGGTTCGGGCAATCGACTTCTTCATGACATTATTCCTCCAGTACAATCGAATTTATTTTATGAAAGAATTGAGTCATTTGAAATTGTCTTCTATATGATATCAAATGTTTACCAACTGGCCTCATGGGTTGTTGCAGCAGTCCCTATACGGTAATTTACTTCTGGAGTAGAGAATTTTGTAATGACGCCCCAGCATGTCCCCATCGAATTAACCGAATTTACGTTAAGGTGGTCTGAAATCTTTCCTTTGTTTGCTTTGATGTTTTATTAACCTTAAAACCTATTTGAGAACGTTTCGAATTGTGCACCCCTCAACCAGATAATTACCTAACTACGCACATGCTCTTGAAACCTGTTTAATGTCCAATAAATTGAAAAGCTAAATCGTCAAAATAACCCCAAGTGGAACTATACAAATAATACAATTACATWTGAGCGATGAGAGCTCTTGAAGCAATAAAATCTCAATCAAAACCCAATGGTAAATGAGAAAAAGATCCAAAGAATCGATTTAAGTTTCTGAGTTAAAAAAATTGAAAGTTTCATTTGATTAACTTTTGCAGATGTTTTTTTCCTTTTAAACTTGAAACTTGTATTTATTAAATGTTTATTAAGTATTCTTTTCTCTTTGTTCTTGTTTTTTATTTATATTTTATTTATTTTTT